GTTTGAAACTTGTGAGTGGTTTAAAACTTGTGTAAAAATGTACTTGCTTGGAAACTCTGGGTGGACCTCCTCCCTCTTATGGGGGCAGCCTGCTCCCAGAGAGATTGGAAGTTAGCCTTGAAGTGTATTTACCTAAGTACCCTGTACCTAATGCTGCTGTGCTACACCCTTGCTACATTTTGTAATCACAACTTATGCTACCCTTGACACCTAGTGCTGCTTTATCATGCCCTTGCCACATTCTGGTGTGTAACTGCAAGCTGCCCTGTAAAACGTATAAAAAGAGGAAATTGTCTTAACTCGTGGTCAGGCTAGAAGGACTCATTTCCTGAGGCCGTCCTTGCCTGGCAATACAATTTTATTTTACCATACTCGCCTGTCTCTAAAAGGTCATTTCAACTCCCTTGCCACAACACTACAACATGAGTTCCTATTCAGCCTGGGGTACATGAGTTCAAGTTCACCTGAACTACATAGGGAATGCCTGTCTCAAAAAACCAAAAGAAGATCTGGTGCTGCTCAGTGGGGGTGGTTTCTCACAATTGTCCCCTCCCTGCGCAAGGCTCCAGCAAAGTCTCCAGGCTTGGCTCTCTGGTGCAGAGCAGGGAGCTGAGGCAGTGGTGCAAGCTTCATAAAGAGGAAGAGTGGCAGACTCTGGCTCAGTGGCAGAGCTTCTCTCCCAGCACCCATGCTCCAGTACCAGGGGCTAAGTGGCCTCACCATCCCAACTCTCCTTTCTCCCCACTGCCTGGTGGGGTGGCAGCTTCTGGTGCTTGCCTCTATCATGAAGCTCAAAGCTAACCTGACTCAGACCTATGCCACAAAGGATTAAAAATGTGGGCTTACTCTGAGCTTCTGCAGAAAGCAGGAGGAGGAGATGTTGCTGGGGAGGAGCAATTGGTGATCAAACCAGGGGGGTCCTTCCAGGAGGAACAATAGAGCCTGAGGAGGGGCTGGGAGGTGTAGCCCTGAGGGAAGTTCATGAGGAGGCAGGAATCAGAGGACAACTGGGCAGGCTCCTGAAAATATTTTAGCAGAACCAAGACTGAAAGTATATAACAAATGTTTATGTTCTTACAGTCACTGAAATATTAGAAGATTGGGAAGATTCTTTTCATATAGGAAGGAAGAGAGTGGTTCAAATTAGAAGATGCAATCAAAGTTCGCCTGTGTTATAAACAAAACTAAAACTGGGTTGTTCCCCAACCAAGGGAAATTCCACATTCCACTTCCTCCAAGATAACAATGTGCACAGAGCCCTGTGGTGCCATCAGATCAGTGTCAGACAAGCCAAATCAGGAGGACCTCCATGACCCTCACTGACTCCTCTCAGAGAGAAGCTTCTGTACCATCCTTGGCAAACATCTGAATGATGCTCACAAACTGACTGAATTTGCCATGCAAGGATTTCAAACAATTTGCAGTTTTCAGATGCTTTCAAATCTTTTTTTTTTTTTGCACCAGAGATCAAACTTGGGTCCTTGCACTTGCACAGCAGGCAGTGAAACCACTGAGCTAAATCCCTGGCCATGAAAATTTTTTTTATGTAAATATTAATCTCTTGTAACTATTATAGCTGGTGAATACAAAGTAGATGTTAAAACATTTGTTCTATAAATTAACTTTTAGAGATATAATTGCTGGTAAAAATAGAGTCCTTATACTTAAGGAAAATTGGTGCCATTTTGAAAATCAGATCTTGTGTCATAAATGTAGCTGAATTAAATATAAATGCTAGTTCACAAATTAAAGCTGTCAAAGGAATGAGTTGAGAAACTTTCAACCAGTGACGTTCCATTCTGAATTATGTAGTGTGGTCAGTCATGGCCATCTGGAATTTCTATGTTTCTTTGTACAAAGTTTATGTATTCTGGCTGTTTTTTGTAAAAAGGAAACATTTTAAATCCCACAAATCAACATTTTCTACCAATCACCAATGGACTGAGATTTTTTTCAGTAATCTCAGAAATTTCTTTAAATTATCTATTTAACAGAGAAACTGAATTGTTTTTGTACATAAGGCTGCACCTGAAACACTGTCACAAGAACTTAATCCCAGCAGTTGGGTGGGTTGAAGCAGAAGGAAAACAAGTTCTTCCCCACCCTGGGCTACATAATGAGTTCAAAGTCACTTGAACTACAGAGGGAATCCCTCTCTCAAAAAACCAAAAGAAAATATAAATCAAAGAAGATGATCTGAATATGTAGAAAATAATGTACAGATACATTTTACAATGTGATATGATACAAAATTTTCAAACTCTATTCTTAGTACAAGTATATTTATAATACCACTGAAGCAACTATGAATGTGACAAAAACCTTCTAGAATCGCTTCAGTAAAACAAAGGACAGCCTTGTATTTTAAAAATCTCAAATAAGTAAAGAGAAGTTTTCCTTTCTATTTTTGCAACACACTTTAGAGTTAGGGTCATTTAAGTCAGAATATAAAAAAAAATTTAGATGCACTAAATTTGTAACAAATATCAAGCAATAACTATACTGTATTCTAAAGTGAGATTTGATATGATTGACAGTACAAATCAAGAGGAAGAAGGGATTGATCACACATTTAGGGTGAACAATTATACATTATATGGGCCAAGTAAACCTGATTTTTTTCCCATCAAAAACATTTAAAAGTGCACTCCAGGGAGCTACAAGGCAAAAATATGAAATAAGGAACTGTAAAACATGGAAGAAGCCTTAAGCAAATCACTTTCTCATCTGGTAAGCATGGAAAAATCTTCAGATATAAATTTGTAGAGACACAAATGTTAAGGTGACTGTAAAAAGATACAAAAAGTAACAGAACTTTTGCTCAGTAGAGAATATCCTTGATAAAATAAGTTATACAAGGTATTTTCATTCTCTACAAGTGATAAAAACCTGAAAATAGCTTATTAAAGAACTATCTCAACACAAATATGAACACATAAGCAAATAAATTACAGAAGAGCTTACAGAGGAAAAGGGGGAAAAAGAAGGCATAAAAGACAGGAAAAATGGAAAGGAATATCAATTCAAATCAGTAAAATTCATTAAATTTGAGTTTGTAGGGGAGGAAAAGAGGAATTATTGCCCCCTGGTGGTAGTGTGGATGGTGTGTATCCGATTTTAAATTGATACACTTGCTATGCACTAGCAAGCATGCTCCTGAGCCTCAGTGGCATTTCCTCTAATCTGCTTCTAAGGCAGCAAGAAAGAGAATGCTTCCGGTGCATTTATATCACAGACATAACTTGAAAATCCTGCTTTCCCATAACTGTAGAAAATATAAATGAGATGTTATGTTACATTCACATGGTTTCTCAAGTATGGAATCACCAGTGGCTGAAAACCTCTGACCTACCAGGTGTAATGGACACACAAGCTTCTGGATGACATGGGACCCTGAGAAGGCAAAAAGACCCCACAAAATGACATTTTTCTAACTCTATATTACAAACCCAAGCTGAGTGACACCAAAATCTCAATCTGTACCTGAACACTTTCTTGCTCTCTCTCTCTCTCTTTTGGAAACAGGACCTCACTAAGTAGCCTAGGCTCTGGCCTCAAACTTATGGCAATCCTTTTGATTCAGCCTCTAAAGTGCTGGGATTACAGGTATGGGCCACCATGTCAGGTGCTTTTTCTCTTCTCCTCCTCTCTCACTGCCTTTCAGATTCTACTGGAGCTAAAACCAGCAATGATCTCTACATCTTGTGCTATGATGACACAGACTGGCAATGTAGAGGCCAACTAGGGGTGAGTGAAGTGAAGCTCTGTGTTTATCTCAGCTGTGCCCTTCTCCAGAGGCTGTTCCCACAGGATTCTCCAGAATGCTAACATGAGAGAGTTGTCCACACAGTGAGCAATTCAGGAGAACTCGAGGTTTCAAGGAATACAGACCCCAGCCACATATAGAACACAGAACAAATGCTCATGGTCATCTCTTTCCCTAGAAAGATGTAAGTCACTGTAAAGGAAAAAGAGCACAAGTCTGGGAGGTGACTGTTCTAGACAGACAAGAATTCAGCTCATTAAGGGCAGGAAGAGGCAGTGGGAAAACAGAAAAGGGTAGAAAGCCAAACACTTTCTCCAAGACTGAGACACAAAGAATGGTTCCCACAGTTAGCACAAAATAGAACTAGGAACAGAAGAGTTTTCCTTTTAGCAGTATATGTGATTGGTGTGTTGTGGTCAAACTGCTCAGCCATGTGTCTGACCATTGGTAATTTCTATCCTATTCTCTTGTCCTCATTGAACAAGTCAGAGAATATGATCAGACTGATGCATCTCTCTACAGTACCACAACAAGTAAATAAACAAACAAATTAAACCAAACTAAAACCAGAATACAAAAGCCATAGCACTACTTTTTTTAAAAAATCAAAACACTATTCATAATGTATCCCAGTTCAGTTCCTTGGAAGAACCTGATTGATACAGCACTCAACACAGGGTACTACCTGATAAGTATCACATTCTACAGAGAAGCACTTTACAAAGAGTTGAAGGAGTGAGTCTATACATCCTGCTTGAGTAATCAGGGAAAAATATTTTGATCAGCCCACAGGCAGTTCAAACTATAACACACTGAAAATGCACTGAACATACATAATCTAGCAAACTTTGCTAAGCCTTGCCTCCTTTAAAACTGATAAACACACTTATATTAACCTGTATTTTAGAAAATGTATGTAACACATAGCTTATTTCATGATAAAATATTAAATACCCCATGTAGTTTATTGAATGTGCTGCAATGTAGATCACTGGATGTTGTCACTTGGTGTCCTGTCACTGACAGCAGGGACTCACTGCTGCTGCCCAGCATCTGGAGCAAGTATTGTGCCACAGACTGCTAGTGTGCAAACAGTATAAAATTCCAAATCAAAGTAAATTTTCTACTGATTATTATCACTTTTTCTTTTATGCTTTAGTACTGGACTGAATTCAGGGCCTCGCACATGTTACACAAATTACTTTAATTGGAGACACAGCCCCAGTGATTTTACCATATGTTGATCTGGGTCTTGGTCCATTCTCCAGCCTGGACTTGTTATTTCAATAATCCAGCCTCAGTGTCCCAAGTGGCTCAGATGAAAGGTGGGCAGCACCATGCCTCACTGAAGTTTCATTTCACCAAGCACAGTGATCCTGGTTAATAGTGGTGATGAAGAAGCTCCTAGCTTAGCCAGGCATGGTGGCACATTCCTGGCATCTCAGTACTCCAGCAGGCTGAAACAAGATCAAAAATTTGAGCAGCCCTGGCAACATAGTGAGCTCCTCAGACCAAAGCTGCTCTGTGATGAAAGTATCACAAAATTTAAAAAAATATTAAAAGGTGTGGAGAATGTAGTTCAGAGAAAAGTCCCAGGTTAAATCTTCTGTACAATAAAAACATCAATCACACCTAAAATCTGTTGTATCCTAGAGAAATTCCTTTCCATTACATTTAGCTGATGATAGCCACCAATTTTTAAGCCAAAGCAAGCCAAACAATTTTCTAATTTCCACTTTTTCCTCAAAAACAATTGCAGACAGGGCTGGGGATTTAGCTCAGCTTCACCACCCCTGCCTCAAAAGCACAAGGACCTGAGTTTGATCCCAGGTACCAAAAACAAAAAAAATTTCAGACAAGTTTGCTGGTACACACCTGTAGTCTCAGTACTCAGGAGGCTCACTTAAGGGAATGGCCACAAGTTGCATGCTAACCTGGGCTACACAATAAGTTCAAGGCCAGCCTGAATTACTTGGCAGAACCCTTGAAAAACAAAGAAAATTGATTAGTTTATCTGATTAGTAGTACCAGAAGACAAATTTATCTAAATTTTACAAAGACTTCTTTCTTAGTGCCTGTGATGTTTGACCCACTCTCAGATTGAGCCAGCACACAATGCTCTTACTGCCACACTAGAAAAAAGTATGACCTCAGGGGAAGACCCTGTCTGCTGTAGGCATGGATTTTACCACCATCACCATCCCCTCCTCTCCCACTTTCTTTCTCCTTCCATTTGCTCCTCCCTGCATAGAAAAGTCCTTTATCACTGACCACTCATGTGGCTACCAACCTCAAACTAAAGTCCACCTCAATCAGCATTTCAATTCTTATAACAGTGTCTATGGTCCAAGGTCTACAGTAATTATTTGACATGCTATCCCTCTCTTTTTCCACTCCTACCAAATCACATGTCAGTATAGATGCCCAAGTTTAATGATTCCCACACTGTGTAACATGCAGCTCCTTCTGGAAGTGGTCCTTAGCAGGAACACTTTCTCCTGCCCTTGCTAACATTTAACATCCTCTCCACTTCTCTCAGCATTCTAAGCTCCCCAGGAAGGCCTCACTTAAGTGGTCTGTTAGTAGAGGTGGCGCATCAATCATTAAGATGAAAATTGTTTTTGCATTTCTATGTACATAACACAGGAGTTCACTGCATGCCTGGCAAGCACTCTACCACCAACTCACGTCCCCAGCAATATTGAATATTTCTTTCTTCTTCTTCTTCTTCTTCTTCTTCTTCTTCTTCTTCTTCTTCTTCTTCTTCTTCTTCTTCTTCTTCTTCTTCTTCTTCTTCTTCTTCTTCTTCCTCTTCCTCTTCCTCTTCCTCTTCCTCTTCTTCTTCTCTCTGGGTCTCACTATATAGTTGGCCTTGATGTCACTGGTCTCCAACTCCAAAAAAGTTCCTGCCTCGGCCTCCCCAGTGTTGCAATTAAGCAGGCAATCCTTTCTTTCAATTCTCAGGGCAATAATCATCGCTTATCCTGAGTTTGGCTTGAGGGCCCATGTTGGAATTTTGGCAATCTACTCTCATCACAGAGCAGCCTTGGCCTGAGGGGCTGAAGTGTGGCTCTGAGACCCTCTATCCCACACATTTATAAAACTGAGCTCCTGCAGATCTGCTGGAGGGACGAATGAGACTAGGGATCCAGCACACCACAGCCCCCAGCTCGATTATCAGCAGAATCAGGGTCTGCCCACAATCCCCAGGCTCTGTGCACAGCTAGCGATGCAGCTGGCTGCGGCTGCAGAGACTGCACTCCAGGCTGGCGGGGTGGCAGTGGACAGATGGGGTGCTGCACACACAGTAGACCTGCCCGAGGCAGGGTGAGAGGGACAGAGTGTACAAGGCACCCAGACCGGGAGGAACTCTGACTCCGGAGCAGCGGGAGGCCCCGGCCGCCATTGATGTTCCCACGCTTCTCTCAGACCTCACCCCAGCCACCCCTGTCAGGGCACCCGTCCCACAACATCACCATTGCGCATCTAGAGAGTCTCGCGGGTCCTTCCCATGCAGCCTGCAGCCAGTAGAAATCATAAAGTCGGGCGGTCTACCAGGGTGGGGCGGCTCTCAGCACTGAGCTCAGGATCTGTGGCTTTGCCACCAGGAAATAAAGTCCTCCCTCCCGGGACATCTGATTGGACAGTTCATACAGCCCGCCCCTCAACATTGATTGGCTCCTGCTCCACAGCCAGCCTCCTGAGCAGAGGGCGATGACAGAAGCGAATCTTTACCAGTGTGAGCACAAGTCAAATGGGAGATTATAACCCAGACTCTTCTTGACCAGTTTGTCTCTCAGGATGCTGATCTCTCCTAGCCTGCCTTTAAGAAAAGTTTGCTCTGGGTTTGCAGAGCTGGTTCTGTCTCTTTTTGTTTTATGACAAAGTGTTGCTATATAATTTAGTCTGCTCTGGACCTCACCATGTATCTCTGACTGGTCTTGAGCTCTCTGTGACCGTTCTGCATCAGGTTCTCCAGTGCTGGGCCTACAGCGATGCACCACCGTGCCTGACTACCCCAGTCTTCTTACTGGACTTGGTGGGCTCTTCTTGTGTGTTGCTCTTCCAAATGGGGCCACCAGTCTGCTAAGCCAGTTCCAGAGTTAGCTCACCATGGAGAAATCACTATGAGTGTTGCAAGTCCAGGCAAAGCCAGGACACAACGGAAAAGAGGGAGGCTTGCTGTCTTGAACAGAAGTAAATTAGGAATAAGATTCTTGGCTTCATGGACAAGGCTTTCCCATACTGTATCTCTTGACTTACTCATTCTAATTTAAGAAAATAATGTCAAAGAGAGGCATATGATTGCTGAATAAACACACTTTCTGATGTTGAGGCAGGGAAACCTAAGGACTTCAGACTGTGAGCTCCTTGTGCCCTGTAATTCCCTCTTCAAAAGTTGCAACTCTCTGTCTTTAAACACACTAATATTGTTAGAAGGAAAATATTTCCTGGAGTCCTGTGACACTCTTGTTCAATATCTTGTTTGGCATGAGAGGTGTGAAGGATATTAGTAAAACACACCACTGGTGTGCCTGGTTGAGCCTTGAAATTGTGACATTAGGGACCTTATCTTCTCCCTCCACCTTCCTCTCTGACACCTGTTTTGCTCTGTGCTTCCTGGTTCTCATGTAGAAGTCTTTCTTCATTTCTTTCCACTATGAACTATTTCCACTATTTCTCCATTCAAGTCTGATAACAACTGACTTCATTCTCTGAATCCATGAGCTAAAAAATCCTTTTATTTTTAAGACATGCATTTCAGGTATTTTTTTACCTACTACAAAACAGTAGTAAAATTAACAGTTTCTGAACAAAATAAACTGCCAAATATATCAACACCTGCTTTAGAATACTATATAAATGAGTTATCTCTTTGAATGCTTTTCATAGATTTTCTTCATATGAACATGTTTCAGTGTGACTCCAGAACACTTTGCATATCAGAACCACTTCCCAGGGCAAGCACCATGGTAAGCAGTAAGACAAAACCCCAAATACAATTGACATGTATGTCACCTGCTTTCTACTGCTCTGCAGCTTTTGTCTGTCACCACTCCTTCCAGAGCTGTTCTGAGCAGCTGGAGACAACATGTCAAAGAGATCTGCAGCTCAGGAGGGCCTAAGGGAATGATCATGACCTTCCTCTTTAGGCTCAGTGTACATCACAGCTTCAAGTCACTGGACATAAGGCAGTGCTCCCCTTTACAGTTTATTCATCTGCTTTATATCAATATTGATGAGTTATGAGATTAATATACTCAAATCAAACCTGTCTTTAAATGAGGAGCATCCTTTTTTCCTCTCTGTGCTTATTAATGAAGATGAAAAAGACAATTCTAGGAAATTGTATATGGACTCAAAACATGCAAGAAGTATTACTTATTGAAAAACATAGATGCATGAACTCATATCCATATGACAAATGAATGGAAAACAGCTGATTTACTGTCAATCATCCATTGTGTTGTCCTGTGTATTGTTGGTTCCCTCACCATTCCAGTAGGATATTGTCATGAGGTGCTCTATGCCTAGGGATTTACATGTTCTGTACCTTTTTAGAACAAACTCTTGTTCCTCTCACAGCACTATGGACACATTTAACTATTTCTCCAGTCAAATCCTAATCATTTATAAGTACCTCTCCCTTCCAAATAGTGCAGCTATCTCAACCTTTAACCTTCTGGAGACTCAACCGCATTCCTCTATTTCAATTGTTTATTTGAAAGTGTGTTATACTGGTGCCAGGATTTAGCCCAGTGGCACTGCACCTGCCTCACAAGAGCAAGGTCCTGAGTTTGATCCCCAGTACCCCCTCCGCAAATTCTGTTATATTGAATATGGTGATATTTTGGGTGAACTCTAGGGACAAATTTATTGTGGCTATTCTTCACAGCCTGTCACACCACAGAAGCTATTAAAACACTCATAGGTGAAACTTCTGTGCTTTGTATCATAGTAAGATTATTAGTGGCTTTGGAACTGTTATTAGTTTCTTGATGGAGAATAATTTGAAATCCAGAAAATAAAGCTTAAAAGCTAGAACTTGTAAAAATAAATTTTATTTGTAACTCACAAGTGGGATGAAAGGATAAGACTCATCAACTGGGCCTGTGCAGAGGGGAAAAGGGCTTGAGATTGAGTTCATGATCAAACCCAAAACCCTAATCAGTCATGTCAATATACCATAAAATGATTTATGTGTAATGAAAGATTTCTTGTTCATTGTATAATATTTAGCATCATCTGGGGCTGAACATCTCAAGACACCAGAAAAATCCACTCCCCCTCTGTCTTGAGAAAAAAAATCTCCAAGATACCCACATATTGAAAGCCATTGACCTAACAGCTACATCAGGCTCCTGAGATAGCTGGATAATAAGACACAGAGTGGGAAAGAAGTCCAGGCCCCTTCTTCACTTCTACAACACGAACAAGGGTGGGTAGCTCTTCCCAAATTTTTTGAACTCTGCCATTGTAGCTCAACTCTTTACAGCCCATTTCACATTGTCTGCTTAATATAATGTGGTTAAATTATTCTACTTGTCTGGAGGAAAGTTGTTCATCCATGAGTCTGCTCATACAACATCACTTCTGCCCCTTCTCTGTTTCCATGAAAAACAAACTGAGTAATATATCCTTATTGGAAGAGGCTATGATTCAGTGTCTCCAATGTATACCTCAAACCCAACACTGGATATTAATAACCATATAAACCACATATATATTGCTTTTTCCTATACCTAAAAAACTATGATAAAATTTAATTGATAAATTTTGCACAGGTAGAGATTAACAACACTACCTCATGCTGAGCTACATATATAATAGCAAATAACTTGGTATAATCAATGCCATGTATATGAATTAATATGGAGTATTGCCTTGATTGGCTTTGAGATCTGCCCAGGGATTGTTGGTATACACTACTGGGTGTGTCTGCATGGAACATGGAGGTATGACCTCTGTGTGGTCACTTACCCCTTTCTCTCTGTTCCCCTGCTCTGCTTCTAGGCCAGCATGAACTAAAAAGCTTTCCTCTGCCACATAGTTCCTCCATGATGCTGCTATCTTGGGGCCAGCCAGCCATGGACTGAATCCCCCACAGACATAAGCCAAAGGTTCCTCCTCTTTACTTGTGGATGTTTCCACAATGAGAAAGCTCACTAATCACTTAGCCAATAGAGTGACATTGGATGTTTCTTTTTCTGGAATAATATTGTTATGGATATTGTAAAACATACTTTATTTCTCAATAATTTCAAACTTATAACACACCTTCAATCATGTTAGGAAGTACCCTTCATTTATTCACTCACCTTCTCCCATGGTTATTTCTTTTCCAGGTTTGCAAGTCTATGTGAAACACTGCTATGTATTTTACTCAGAGTAGAGACACTCCTACATGTCCACCACAAACCCCCTGTGTCAGTGAAGGGCTTCAATTTGAATAGGCATTCCTTAGGTACCGTTCACTTTCACTGTCTCTCTTGGGTGAGAGAAAATTCTTTTTTCTATTGGATCCACTTTTCTTTTCTGGAACTCACGCTAGGACTCTTTCATTGCCATGACTTTGACAGATGTGAAGAACATATCCCTTTTTGTTTGAATACATCCTTTCTTTTCTTTTGGACATCTATCTAGGAATGGAAGGGTTGAGTGGTATAGTAAACCTATATACAACTTTTTCAGAAAATCTGAAAGCATTTCACAAAGGGTTTGCACCATATATAAGGGTTCCAAGTTCTCAACATCCTTACCAACATTTTCTACATTAAATTTTTAAGAGGAACATCACTGTGGTCACAGTTTGCATTTCCTGAATGGTTGAGAAGTTAAGTATGTTCATGTTTTCATGTGGGAAGGGTTGGGGTATTCATTTAGCATCTGACTTTCTAGTATTTATCTAGTTGTTGACATGGAAGTCAACACTTACTGAGATGATGGCCTACAGGACCATGGTCATTCAGTTAAGAGCCTCAGTGTCTTTTTTGCTACAGTACCCATTGTTTATATGATACAGTTATTTTTGCTGATTATATTGTATAGTCAGTGCTATAGCTTTATGCATTACAGTACTGTATGTAGGAGTTATACAAATAAAACCAAAGTCATTGAGTTAGAGGTTGCTTTAATGATGTGTTTGTTCTGAATATATGACCATACTCTACTATGTACAATTCCTCATTTAGTGGTCAACTAGTTTAGCAGCCTGCTTGGAGGAATGTAGCTTGGTAGTTAAATGAACAGTGCCTGTAGCCTATTGCATTTTCGGCACATTCACCAAGCATTTTGTGCAAATAATCACAGGATTCATGAAAAGACAAATGTCTTTGTAGTATATGCTATTTATATAATGTCTCATACTGGTGAAAAATAAGCTACCTGACATTTTTTCGATATTGAGAGAAAAAAGCCACCTCATATGAGGTAGCTCATATGAGCCTTTTTTGCCACAAAATATTTTTTAAAATATGGTTTATGGGCCAGGGATTTAGCTCAGTGGTTCTGCAGCCTGCTTCCCAAGTGCAAGGACCCAGGTTTGATCCCCAGTACCAAAAAAAACAATAAAATATGGTTTGCCTGCTTTGATGCAAAGGGAGAGATTTGGAGCATGATCT